GCAAAAATTGTAACATTCTGATTAAGTTTTTGTTCGAATGAACGTTAAAAACTTTTTGTCATGACAAAAATGATAACGCCATTTTGAAAGTAGGTAAGTATATATTTTTATTGAAAGATAAAAATATAATAATCCAATAAACTAATAAAAATAAAAAAATAGAAGTAACATAAAATAAACATTTTCCCAAAAAATAAATAATAAGAAATATTTTAAGCTTTTATTAACACTTGTATTTAATACTTTACCTGTATACAGTGTATTTAAAAAAGACGCGGCAATATTTAAGGGGGCGATTGCCCAGATCATTTTATAAAAAAAAGTTCCTATAAACATACGTCCGCAAACGCTTCGTTACCGATCTACAGAATGTTGAAATTTCATTAAAAAAACAGTAAAAATTAAATTTCTCCAAAACCTCTTGATATTATAATGAAATTTTAGGCCTGTCAATAGCTATGGCAGACGCGTACTTTGCAATACAAAACGATTTTTTAGTCTTACCAGTGACTAGCTATTTTTAATGAAAAAAATAGGACCCCGCTGGTTTTTCTAAAAATATAATTTTTTAATTCCTTGTTCAATTATGAAGAAGAAAGCTTTCCTCAGATTATACGCACCGTACGTCACACCGTTATTGAGTAAAAAAATAAAAAACATTTTATTGCGCACCTAAACCCAATGTTGTTTTAATTGAGAAATTTAAATTATTGAACAAAGAAATTCAAATTATCAAATTTGATTGATTTTTGAAATGTGGTACATACTGTTGTTTGTAGTAGGTAATAATAAGGGGCTGCGTTTTAGAGAAATTTAATTTTTACTGTTTTTTAATGAAATTTCACATTCTGTAGATCGGTAACGAAGCGTTTGCGGACCTATGTTTATAGGACTTTTTTTATAAACTGACCTGAGCAATCACTCCCTTAAATATTGCCGCGTCTTTTTTAAACACACTGTATACAAGTAAAGTATTAAATGCAAGTATTAATAAAAGCTTAATATATTTTTTATTTATTAGTTTTTGGGAAAATACTTACCTACTTTCAAAATAGCATTATCATTTTTGTCATGACAAAATGTTTTTAACGTTCATTCGAACAAAAAACTTAATCAGAATGTTACAATTTTTGCCCAAAAAATGCCTGATACTGGAAATTCTTAATCAAAGTACTACTGTTAATGAATGAAATTAATGACATTTGAAGTTAATTCAATTATTTTTGTTCAAATGGACATTCAAAACTTATTGTAATCTTCCCGTATTCCTTGAAACCTTATTAAGAAATTTTGAAATATTCTTTTAATTTCTAATAATCCTATTGAAATCTTAAGTAATCATTGAAATCTACTAAAATAACTCTGAAATCTCCTGAAATGTGTTGTAATCTTGATTATTTATATGAAATTTGTAATATTTTTTGAATTGATATTGAAATCTGCAGATACATTACAAGAGATTTCAGAAATTTTGTAATCTTCGTCTGTTTTTTCCTTGGCGGATTGCCCTTCGGAACACACCAATCGCACCATATAGGTTTCTGTCGAGGTTTCTGTGGCATTCTTTGGAAAATGAGGTAGGGGGGGGGGCGTTGTACAACGACTACATCGACGAAATTCATTAGCTGATTACATAGATTATAGCGAAGATTACAGATAAGATTATGTAGATTACAGATAGATTACATATATTACAGATAAGATTACGTAGATTACATAAAGATTCCAGGGCAAACGTACGAAGATTACATCAGCGGATCGCCCCTCGGTTTTTGTAATAGAATTGTTGACTGTTTACTAAAGCTTGTTTGTTGCGTTGCTATCGTTACTAACGCGCCAAAATTGATCAAAATATGTGCAGTAAATTGTACATGACACACCTGTCAAATAAATTAATTTTCTTTTCGCGTTTTTAGTAATTTTTAGACTGTGGTTTACTGTTGTTGTAAGTTTTATTTGATACTCGACTGCGATATTCTTTTGCATTTTCGAATGATTTTTTTGCTCACAAACTTCCATTCTCGAACGCAAAATAGCAAAGAAATTAATTTTCTATGCAAATTGCAAGTAAATACATCTATTTTGGGGAAGCATACGAACAAAATAAAAATATTTAAAAGATACTAACCTGGAATTGAAAATAAATGGACAGGAACCAAACTATTTTAGGCTTGACATTCCTTTGATATTAACAATAACTGATACTATGTAAGTCGTATCTAATCAACTAGCATGAGGATACAAAAAATTACAAGCCACTGAAATTGATGTACCAACTTACCACTTCAATGTCGAAACAGAAACAAGCAAAAAAGTAACTTAAGTACACATTTAATTAATAAATATATAATTTCTTAATTTGTTAAATGCCAAATACGAAAAAATATATCCAGAATAAGTTCTTAATATATACAAAAATTAGTTGCAGTTAATGTAAATATCTCACAGGGGTCAGATAAATATAAATGACATGGAAATAAAGAAATTAAGTGGAATGCACAGATAACGCAGCAAGATATGGAAAGGTCAAGATATGTCAGTTACACATACCGACAAAATTTTTAATTAGGAATCGGGCTATGCTTGTCCAAAGGTTTCTGACAGATCCGAATCCGATCAAAGAATTGGTTCATCAAATAAGGTTTTCGAGATATCCCAACCTAGAAGTGCGAAAAACCGGTTTCTTCGCTATATTTGAGGTTATGTTGCATCACGAAGTTGTGACATCTGAAAGTACAGAGCATGTAGACTACAATTATCTTACCAAATTAGAGTGCGCTAGTGTCCCACATACTCCGAAATAGTAAAGGGAAAATAATAAAGAAAGCGATAGTTTGAATTAAAAATCAATCATGCCGTTTTTGTGATCTGTTAACAATTTTAAAATAAATAATGTTCAGAATCCATTTTAAATCTTTCTTCTCCGAGAAATCTTCTGCCGAAATTGATTTGTTTGGAGAATTCGTCGATATTCGAAGTATATTGAGTCAACAAACAATTTCTCGGAGAGGAAAAGCGATTTAGAATTACATCTTGATATAACATAACCTCAAATAAAGCAAAATAACCCTTCTAGATTAGGATATCTCTAAAACCGCATGTGATGGAGCAATAATGAGGTTGGATTTGGATTTCGTAACAGTGTCTTTTTCCACAAAAGCCACGAACTCAAAAATAATTCCTGTTTTCACGAAATTGTTCGAGAAATCAAGAAAAAATCAGGAATTTTTTTAATGTTTATATTTCTCTATTATTATTTTTTACCCAATGTGCATAAATAAATGCCAAAAGTTACAACAGAAACTCGGCAACAGCGTACGTTTGCCGAGTTTATTATTTGTAAGTTGGCAGTCCTTGTCATGTATACATAATGCTATGTGGTCGCTCGCACAGTTGATTGCTTTAACCTATAAAATGTGGGATGAAGAACAGAGTTGGTAGAAAGGCAAATTGGTGACCATAAGAAAGTCTGAGTGCTTGGTGCTTGAGAATTAGAACAGAAAATAGAAAAAGCAGGAAAAAAAGCTGTTGAAGAGAAGATTGTGGAACCAGAACCTCCGCACACCGTTCGAGGCATCAACTAATCTATATACATAGAGATCATAGAGTACATGCTACAAAGCATGCTATTGCGCTGTTGCCGTTACTTCTTTGTGTTTATAACTTGGCGGACGAAAAGTCAGAACTTTTTATGTTTGATAATTTATTTCTCTGTGAAATGGGCGGTAACCTATTTTTTTGTTTCCCTAATCTATTAATTAATGATTCAAGTAAATGTCTATATTTTTTCGTCCTACCATTTGAATTTTTTTATCCGTGATTCGATTGTATGCATCATAGCATTTTTCATAAGAACCTGTTAAATATTTAAATTTTTGGCATTAATTACAAACAAAAACAAATCGATAAATAATTCACAGAATTTGATTTCGCACTGCAAAAATAATATAGGTATTTCAATAATACGAAACTGACTGCATTTTTTCGTAGAAACCGATCCTACTTAAACGAGCTTTGCATTATCGTTTTTCTTAATTTAACTATAACGAATTGGTCGATGTAAATGAACCATGAAAATAGGACACTACCTATTCTATTAAATTAATATTTGAGGATCGATATTGCCACGATTAACTAACTGTATATAAGTAACGAGATGTAAAATTTTGAATCTAGCATAACTACAAAGGTTTCTATCAAGTTAGTTATACAACAATTGTATTGAACTTTTGCAAATTTGAAAAATGGTTTGAAAACGTGTTTGATTTTTTCACCTTTTTAATTTTCTTTTTACACTATTTTATACCTTAATTGTTTTCTGTTCTAGATTTTGCAAAAACATGGATATTGAAGGTACTAATATTGAAGCAGATGGAAGATGGGATGGTAGGTAAGTACTTAAATTGTAAGAGTAAACAGAACCATTATATTATAAAATATATACTTCCACTCGTATCTTTAATTTGTTTAGGAATTAAATTGTTTTTCAAGGTACAACCTTCCTTAAAACATCAAATATACATGAAACAGTTTTTTTTCACCACTGGAATGCTGTCTAAAATGACTACACACTTATTGGAAAGCTCCAAAATGATTTCGGTACTAGGTATGCTTTTTTATAATACTACAAGAGCAAGACTTACCACAACGTTTACGAAAATAAAAATTAATTTGGAATAAATCCAGATGTTGTATAAAGCATACGTTTATACAAGCAGCGAGGGAATTCAGATAAAAATACTTGAAACCAAAATATTTGCACAGATCTCTAAGAAAAATGTTTAGATTTCTTCTTCGTCTAGACTCTACACTGTGGCGTTTATATTATTTAAATGCTATTGTTGAAACATGAGACAATAACTGAACTGCTATTTACATCGGCGTTCGATTGTTTCCAGTACCATGTGATTGTTGTTGACCTACCCAACCGGGGTCTGTCAGACGCTCCTTTAGAAGCGGATCGAGGGCGGTCTGGCGAGGGATGCACAAATTGGACTCACCATTACATTATGTCGGGACGAATTTAATTCACAAACAGGCACATCTTCCGGAATTCCGCACTATGGTCGGGATTTTGTAGCACACTGCAGACACTACCACCGCTCTCGGAACACTTTCACCGATGAAGACGTATGGATAAGTGTTAAAACGCGGCTGCGGCGAAGGCCCGCACAGCGTTGCCGGATCGGGAAGAAAATCCCCGACATAGGGAGATTTCAATGTGCTACATTTTTTATACACACGACAGTTAATATTTAAGTGAGACATATAAGGGGTTGAAAATGAAAGAAAAGTAGATGATGACCAACCCATATTTAACCATAGAAAAGGTTTTCAAAACTACTTCCAGTTGTAAAATAAAAATATAGTTATTTATTTAGGTTTCACATGTTTTAAATGAGTTTCCCACAAACACAAATACCTTTCTGGGGTTTTGAGGGAGCAAGACAACAAAATTTAAGTCACCGTTTTCATTATTCTTACTAAAAAAAAATTTTCCCCACGGCTTTCTAGCGCGGTGCGAGACTGATTTGAATCTGTCAGAGATATTCGACCAACTGATTCGTGACCTTAGACTCGTTGACAGTGCGTGACAACTTAGGTGGCCAACTATATCTGATAGTTTGAAATCGCTGTGGAAACAAATCCAATGAAGTCGGTAAAAACCTACCGAAAATCTGGCAACTGCGTCCATATTCTGCGACGGGTTTCTCTTCTCGAGCTACGACATGCGTTATCCGTTTTTCCAACAAGCGGCCAGCAATGTGCTCTGATCCTTGAATTTACCTAATTTTACAGTCTCTACACAAATTCCTACTAGCTTTTCATTGACAAGGTTTGGTATGTAAACGGACTGATGAAAATTATGTTAGGTTTCATTTAGCAGGCGTGGAGGGTTGCTGGATGAATTGGACAATGGCAAACATTGGTTTTCTGGACAGGACCGGATTCAAGTGGAAAGGTGGGGGTGGTCGACAAATTTCGTGAGTAGTGTATACAGTGTGTTTGATTTTCGCGTTAACACTTCTTTAAATACAGGTAGGCTGGGGCGGAATCAAGTGAGAGTATGTTTTTATGGGTAGGGTCCTGAAAGGTCATCATTTGACAACTACTGGTCTCACTCACATGAACGCAGGGCTTGCTATGATTTTTTATATAGAATTTTCAGTAAAAATACAAGAAAATTTTGCAGAGAACCGCAGAAGCAACTTAGCGTTACTTGTTTGTACTTCACAATATTCTAAAAAAAATCTTTAAAGTAAGGAATCCATTTACTAAAAAGATATTGGAATTAGCATGGTAAATTGTACCATTGCACTATCAGCGTTGCCAGCTGTTACCTTTTTAAAACAACTGTAGAGCGACAATGGAAAATAATTTAGTAAAACATACCTACTGCTTTTGTATGACTTAGCGACGTGTAATTTTAATGTCACCATATTTTTTTTATAAAAAAAAATGAGGACAAGCATTAAACATTAAAACAACACACTGTTTTAAATATCGTTTCACGTTTTTGCAAACAGTTATGTGTTGATATTTTTTCAAGTGAATGTATTTAATTTGTAAATGTCAGTGTCAATGACCCCTGATATTGATCCAGTTTAGCTGAACTATGCTACTGTCACTACATAAAGTAGATAGGAACGCACTTAGGAAAATTAAAACAGGTAATATTAGGAAGACATATTAAATTAAACAAAATAAACAAAGCAGTAACAAAAAACTGAACAGTGTAAATTTAAGTAGAATCCAATCCTGTTCCGAATGCTTATGAAGGCCAACGGAGATTAGCCTCCTTTAAAATGTCGTATTGGCGGCTTTGAAACGCCGCTGTTGTCAGTTGACTTCACAGTCTGGTATAATACAGGGCGACTCAGAACTTATTTTTTAAAAAATTTTTTATATGAATGTACAGGGTTAGTCACTATAATCTGACAACTTATTGTAGGTTTATTATTGAAATTACAAAACAGTTTTTAATACAAACGTTTTAGCTTTTTTATGAATTTTTATACTACAGTATTAGAAAAAACAATTCAATAATGGAAATTACTAAATTAAAGAATTTTTTTAAATGGAACGCCCTATATACAAGTGCATACTTAGCTTCGTTAAATTTTTCTCTTTTCAAAAATATATAATATGTTACTGTTCCATTGAGGACTTTTCGACATATTTCAGTTTAAAACTATTTTTGAAAAACAGGAGGGAAATTTATGTCTGACGGTTCGCAGTGGGTATGAACGAGGCACGCGGATGAAACAAATGATTTTGACAGAAGTTTATTTATCATCATGAATTTATTTCCTATAACAAATTATTTTAACAAAGAAATGATGTATAGTGAGAACGAAAAATTTGAAATTATCCGTTTATTTTATGACAATAATAAAAATAATTCTTAACTTTAACAAGTCTTAACTTTAACAGAATTTTATTACCTAATTAATAAAAATCAACTAAAACACAAATGGTCACAGATGCTCAATGTAACCGCCATTATTATTGATACACTTCGTATAATCTTCATTAATTTTCACAACTGCATTTTGTATGAAATGGGAATTAAATTAACTTAAATTTTGTATATATTGATCAACTTTATGTCTTAGTTCACCTAAGTTTACACTAGTTTTCTTATGAACCTCGTTTTTAAGTAACCCCGCAGAAAACTGTCCAAGGGTGTAAGGTCTGAGCTATTTGAAAGCCATTGAATATTTCCTCCATTACTAATCAACAAATCAAACCTATTATTTAAATAATTTCGTACTACTCTGGTTTTATGCCAGGGATGCACATACCGCGGCCCGCGGGCCGCAGCGGTCCGCTGTCGATGTTTATGCGGCCCGCCAACGAATTTTAAAAGTATTCTACTCGCCGCGCTCCGGTCCAAGCATATTATTACGAGACTAGAAATCTGTCGCATCAACTAGATTACAGATTCGCGAAACACGTCGATCCCCGAACAAAGAGGATGGTTCTCGATGTTTGGTAACTCGTATAAATACGACGCATCGCCGGCTACCGGGGCAGTTAAGTTTTGACTACGGATAAGCGAACGTTATACTGTTTGAGAACTGCAATCTGTGACGAGTAAATATTTCGTCGTTCGAACTTGGCTTTTACTGACCGTAACATATAATATTAATTTTGATATGGATAAACCAGGCCCCAGTAAGAAACGTAGTCGTAAGGTTGAAGATGAAAATAGACAGTTTTATGATATTTGGACCGAAAAATACTTTTTTATTTCATCGCATAACAAAATTGTCTGTTTAATATGCAAAGTAGTGTTTCTATTCCGAAAGAATATAATGTGAAAAGGCACTATGAAACCCAGCATCCAACTTTTACCAAATTAACTGGCGAAAATCGAACGCAAAGAATTTCCACTTTACAACGGGAACTAATAGGCCAGCAATCTATGTTTACAAAACCAATTCAAGATGCTGAAACAGCCACTGAAGTTAGCTTTGAAATATCTCGAATAATAGCGAAAACTTGTCGGCCTTTTAAAGATGGTGAGTTTGTTAAGCAATGTTTGGATATCGCCGCAAAAAAAATTTGTCCGGAAAATGTAAAGAAGTTTGAAAAAATTCAGTTAAATCGGATGACTGTTCAAAGAAGAATTACCGCATTAGCAGATAATATAGAAGAGCAATTAGCTACGAAATCGAGAAGTTTTGAGTATTTTTCTATAGCGCTCGACGAATCTACAGATATAAGTTCAACTGCTCAACTATTAATATTTTTACGAGGTGTAACGCAAAATTTTGAAGTGAGTGAAGAACTGATTGGTATGAGTTCTTTGACAAGTCAAACCAGGGGAAGTGACATGCTCAAAGCTCTTCTAGAAAAATGTTCTATAATGGATTTGGATTTAACGAAAATATCTGGAATTACAACTGACGGAGCACCTTCAATGGTTGGAAGTACATCTGGGATAGTAACTCTGTTAAAAACATATTTACAAACTAAAAACATAAATACCAAGGAATTAATGCAGTTTCATTGTATTATACATCAAGAGGCCCTCTGTTCAAAATTATTGGGATTTGAAAATGTTATGAAAGTTGTAGTACCTACCGTAAACTTTATAAAATCACGAGGTCTCAATCACCGACAATTCAAACAATTTCTCGAGGATATTGAAAGCGAATATGGTGATCTCCTGTTTTACACTGAAGTAAGGTGGCTAAGTCGTGGGTTGACACTACAGCGATTTCTTAACTTGATTGAAGAAATCCAACTATTTCTGGCGGAAAAGAAAAACGACGTCCCCGAACTCGACAACCCTGATTGGCTGTGTGACTTAGCGTTTCTTGTAGACATCACAAATCACTTGAATGTCTTAAATACGCGACTCCAAGGCAAAGATCAATTGATTTCGCAGCTATACTCTCATGTTTCGTCCTTTCAATGCAAATTGAGTCTTTTCAGGACACAAATCAATTCAGCCAATTACGGCCATTTTCCGAACTACAAAAAAATTATGGAGAAGTTCAATAAAACTGACGTCAATTTCGCTCATGTTGAAAAAATTGATATTTTGATACAAGCTTTTGAAAATCGTTTTGTAGACTTCAAAAAAGTTAAACCGCTATTGGACATTTTCAGCAATCCTTTCAACATTTCACCCGAAAATGCGCCGGAATTAATGCAGCTGGAATTAATAGACATGCAAAATGATGATAATTTAAGAAACAAATTTAATGAAGGTAATTTACTCAACTTCTACCGTTGCGTTGATAAAAACGCTTATAAAGAGTTGCGAATAAATGCATTGAAATGCGCAAGCTTATTTGGATCGACGTATATTTGTGAACAAACGTTTTCAGTGATGAAACTTAACAAAACGAAAAACCGAAACCGTCTGGCAAATGAAAATTTGGAAGCAATTATACGTGTGGCTACAAGTAATGTGGAGCCAAATATAAAAAAACTTGTTAGTTCAATGCAATGTCATGCATCAAAATAATAAAACATGAAATATTACATTGTAATGATTACATAATTATTACAACAAACATTTTTGAAGGTTATTTTATTTTTATCATTGTATTTCATACTATTTAAAAATAAAAAATTTTGTGTTAATAAATATTGTTTGTAGTGGCC